TAAAGATGGCCCTTTAGTCTGCAGAACCCAAGGGAAGGGGTATATGGTGGTAGGTAGGCAAATGGTAAAACCAAGGTTGGGCCTTGCTGGAGGAGTTTTATTCAAAGTGATCTGTCAAGGGGTTCCCATAACACCCGACCGTGTAAGGACGCAAAATCAAGGAACATAACACTGGTATGACGGAAAACTAGGGCGGAAAGAGTGGAACAAAACACCAGGCATAAGGCCGAGACTTCCACTCTTTACCAAGTATATAGGTGCATTAATTAAAATAAGAGATATTGTGATATCCCAACATATCCATGTTTCAACATGGAACAAACTTCATCTTCACCTGCAACTTGCAACGCTATAAGAGGGGCTGAGCAAAAGCGGTAACATAGCCAAACAATGGTTTGCTAGGAAAGGTGGGTTAGAGGCTTGACATGGCAATATGGGAGGCATGATATAGCAAGTGGTAGGTATCGCGGCATAGCAATAGAGTGAACAACTAGCAAGCAAAGATAGAAGTGATTTCGAGGGTATGGTCATCTTGCCTGAGATCCCGCAAGGAAGAAGAACGAGTCCATGAAGAAGACGAACGGACGTAGTCGAACGGATCCTCACAAACGCGACGTTATCGGAACTAACCCGAAGAAGCAACACCGGAAAGGAGCAAACAACATAGTAAACAACCACCACATAAATATGCATGGCAAAGAGCATCAAACAATACTACAATTAAGTAGAGCTCAATATGCAACATATTGACGGAACACCACATTCAAGTTATTTAGTTCGATCTCGTTTATGTATCCAACAATATTAAATGTTAATTAATATGGCAAGAGGTGAAACATGAGAAAAAAACACAGTTAGGCATTTTAAATGAGGCCGGAAACATCAAACAACAATTCCGGTAAATCCTGATGTGCATTTAGCAATTTAATGCAAACAACAATTTTAAACATGTTAATGTTGTTAACATGATGCGGATGACATGTTCAAGTTTGTGTAATTTTTATTAAAAGTTGACAAGAGCATGATATGAAGCATTTTGTCATCGCGGCGAAAACGAAAGGGGTGCCACGAGAACGACAACAGAAATGGTGCCACGACAACATTCCGGTTCCGGTAGCTCATGGAGATACTGGTGCAAAGGAAGTGTGGCGAGAGCGTGCAAAAGATGGTGGGGTGATCCCGGTAACCGGGTCCCCACGGGTTAGCGGCAAACGGGAAGGACCGAGCAAGTGACAACTTCGACACAGTGCAAACATAGGGTGCAACTCATACATCACACAACATGCATTCATTCCGCGGGTATCGTCTCGGTGGTTATACCTTCGAAGCGTGCAGTCGGGATGGTTCGGGTTCGTCAAGGGAAGTAGAGGAAGTAGTGTTACTATCGGTCCTCGACGATAGTTTTAATCGCATGCTCCAGGGTCGACGGTAGAGGTTCTCGCAATCTCGGTGATGGTAGTAGTACATGTTTATCTTGGACGTGTTTCCATAGATGTTCGGGGTCACGGCGAGGAACTTGACGTCCACACGGTAGAGGTACTCGTTTTGAAGGTGAACTTGACGAATACAAATTCCTTCGGGGTTGTCATGGTAATTGGGGTCTTCGGACTTGCCGGTCTCGTTCTTATGACGGTAGTCATACACGGTTCGGAGAGGACTTGTCGTTTCAGTATGAAATCATTCAGGCGTCGGTCTTGCCGGTGGGGTACTTGGCGAACCGGCGTAGTCGATCTTGGCGTAACCAGTGGAGGTACACAGTCGTAGACGTACAGGGCCGTCGTAGAGGTACTTGACGTCCACAGGGTTGAGCGGGACGCGGACGAAGCCGGGAGGCGAAGGCAAGGCAACGCGGCGGTGGCCTGTGCTCACCGGTGAAGCAGCAACAGAAGACGAACATGGTGGTCAGCGGCAGGAGCTTGAGGCGAGAGGAGTAGAGGAACACCTTGGGGTCGGCCCTGGCATCAACTTGACCAGGAAGATGGCGGAGGTTGGCTCCTGTGGTCGTCGTGGTCATCGGATGTCGCGGATTACGCCAGAACGAGGCATGAGGAGGAGCAACGGGGATGCAGGCGAAGCTTGAGGCGGCGGGAACGGACGAGCAGGCCGATCCGGGCGGAGGCACGCAGGATCCCGCCGGCGGCGTGGCCTTGAGATGACGGCGCCATGGGTTCCGTGGACGGCATCTGGCGGCGCTGGAAGATGGCATCCGCGGGGGTTGCAGAGAGGCGAGGTGGAAGGAGGAGCTGGCGCCTGGGTGACGCGGGTGGCCTCCGGCGGCACCGGATCGAGGCGGAGGAGGTAGCAGGACGCCGGATCGGGAGGCGTGCGCGATGGTGGCGCTTGGCGGCAGTGAAGCTCTAGGGCAGCGCGAGGACGATGGGTGCGGGCACGAGAATGAGGTAGGGCTCGGCAGAGGGAGGACATGGCAGAGGAAGGCAACGCGGAGCAGAGGCACGGAGTGGGGTGAGGAGATCGGGCGCAGACGCGAGAGGATTTGCGGTCTGCGTGCGGTTCCTGTGGGTGGCGGCGTGAGGAAGATGGAGATCGAGGAGAGGGATCAATGGAGAAGGGGTTCGAGCGTGGCTGGGCCTAGGGTTAAGCAGCGGAGGCTGGCTGGGCCTTGGCCTTGGTCCGGCGCGAGGAAGAGAGTTCCAGGCTGCTGGGCTGAACATTGAGGCCCAAGGGGCACTGCTGCTATCTCTCCCTCTCTCTTAAACATCTTATTTACTGTAACAGAAAAGAAATTAGAGAGAGGATAAGAAAGAGAGGGTTAGGGAAGGATTTGCACATGGGGATAATTTCCCCGGACTCACAAAAATGTGTTCATTCCGCGAAAATAGAAATGGCCAAGATTGAAAGATTAAATTCAAACTCATTTGATTTAAATTCAAATGATCTGAATAGGAAGTGAGGTATGGGAAGGTCCAAAAATGTTCGGCTTTTCCAGGAGCCTTGATAAAAGAGATAAAGAATTGTTGACAAGATTTGAAGGTCAAACTCGAAGAGGAATAGGCATGGGAATTATTTTGCACGTGTGTTATGGTTAATTCCAAAAGAATGGAATATTTATTATAGCTCCGTAACATTGGGAGGATATGTTATAAAGAGAATCACCATGTGAATTCCCTCGGTTTGAATGGACCAAAGATCCATGCCATTTATTTAAGTGAGTTTTAGTTAGCTTTGAGAAAAAGATGGCATGATGACATGATGCAATGTAACAAGCAAAACAAATCACATGATGAAACTCGGAAAACAAGGAAGGCATCTGAAGCTCCGGTCCTGGTGCACCACAACACTCCACCATTACAAGAGGATCTCGTCCTGAGATCTAGGATGTCACCGGAGGGAAACGGAAGAGGAAGAGGTAAAACGAAGTTGCTTCTTTGACAAACGAGTGAAACCACGGACCTTGAGAAGTTGAAAAGTTGAAAGAAAGAACACAACGGAGTTGAACAAAATTGTAAACACTCTGTTAGAAAAGAGGAACAAGAAACATTACTAGAACCTTGTAGGTGAAAGACATAAGAAAAAAAGGTTGCAATGGACAAGAAGTACATGCAAGCACTCCGGTTGAAACGAGATGTACAAGGAACGATAAGGATCAAATACGACAACACTCCGGTTGGAAATGGAAGGCATAGAATATGAACTTGACAAGATGAGTGGATACTTGATGAAATCAACACACTACCTCCGGAACAAATGTAAGAATGGAATCAAAAGAATGGAGGAGAAAACAACATCTTCTACCTCAAATGAGCTTGAAAAAGCATCTTTAGGAGAAGGGTGGAACGGAGTTCTTGGAAAAACCAACAATGAAAGGAGTAAGCTTGTTGTGGGCTTATGGAAAACATCTCAAAATTTGAGGTAAAATTCTGCCACTAGCGGAAACAATAGATTGGATTGATATCAACAAGGAGACGAGAAGCTTATTTCACCGGGATAGGAGGGAGAAGATTGGATCGTTGATAAGCATCACAATAGCAACATTGCCAATGGAAGGCTTTCGGTGAAATCTAAACCAAGATACTCCAACGAAGAGATTGATTGGTTGAAGAGATCTCTTGAACGAAGAGAAAATGATGGATTTAGAATATGTCCTTCTTGACATTTGAGAATTGTGAAACATGAAGGGAAATTAACAAGAATGACATAACACCATCTCAAGAGATAAGGTAGGAAGAAGTGCACTTTGGAATGCACGATGAAGAATAAATGAAGTATAGCTTGGCGGATCTTAGCTCCGAGAGAAAACTTGAAGAACAAAAGAAGAATGAAAATAATCCTTGACGAACCACGATGTAGAGCCTCCATGAAGAACCCCGGTAAGAAAATGATGATAAAAAGAAAGAGAAGTTGAAAACACAAGGTGAAGCCTTGCAATGATTTAGATGGAGCTTTGCGACGATATAATTTAGAGAGATTGGAACTCCGGGGAAGAAGGATGAAACAATTGAAACCGAGAATTTGATGAACCTTCGGAATAAGAATTGAATTTACTCGATGAAACAAGAATAAGAATTACATTATGCTTATCCTTCACCAATTTAGATTGATGACAAGCAACGGATTTGGCATACTACGTATTCTCATTGGAAATGATAAAGGAGAGATATAGCGCAAACTTGAGAAAATACTTCAACGAACCACCGTTTGGAATTTGAAAGAGCGAATGAATTGATATGATAAACAAGGAATAGAACTCTTGAATGGACCACCATAAGAATTGAAAATGAAAGAAGAAAAGATAAAGAAACACCGGGAAGAATTAGAAAATGACATTGATACTTGAGGGAATTTAGATACATGAGAACGAAGAGATCACGAGCTAATAAGAGAAAACTTGAATGATGCACCGGTATGATTCTGAGAACGAGAGCTAAAAGCTGGAATGAATAATTATGAGATGATGGGCTCCGGAGAATCAAACTGAAAAGACTCCTGAATTGTTCCGGATGGTTGAAAAGAATTCTCACAATCAAAAACAATGATGAGAGGATGGCATAAAGCTAGCACCATGAATCTTTGGAAGAACGGGTAAGGATTTAAGAGGAACTCTTCTTCGGTCTTCAAATGTTGATAATGATGATGAGAAACACCACCTTGAATTGTTGAGGCACTCCGGAATGGAAATTAGAAAGGTTGAACCAATGATGAAAAGATTGTGAAAGATCTTGGAGAAGGCATTAGACGGATGATAACTCATTCTCACGTCAAACTTGGAAAAGAATTTGAGAGTAACTCCGAAAAGGTTAGAAGAGTCAGGTAAGATCCTGGGAAAAGACCTGTGGTTTAGGGCCCACTCAAAAGAAGCAACCGTTGAATCGATTTAAAAGAGAGAATGCGCCGGTTGAAGTAAATGGCTTGAATGAGATAACATCCTCAAAAGAACTTGAGCAAATTGAGAATGGAAACTTGAATATTCTGAGATATCTTCGGCACTCCGGAACAATTGAATAGCGAGAAGTGAATGATTAAGATGTGCACTGACATGAGAAAGCATTTGAGATGAGGGAAAGGATATGATCCACAAAGCTTGAATTGAATCCACCGGAGAAGGAAAAGAACGAATAATGATGAACTTGAGGCTCCGTTAGCATCTTCATGAGGAAACACCGGGTAAAACATTGACGGAAAAGAATGAAGAGACTTCGCATGAATAAAATGGATACTTGATTAAGAAATCTGAGTCCTTGAATAAAAACGGGTGGGTGGGCGGGAAAACAAAGGCAACTTGGGGACGGATGAAACAAACACCGGTTGGAAAGAATTGAAAATACAACCTTGATGATCAAGAAGGATTGGTATTCACATAGAAGTATGAGCACACCACTTAGGGAAAGTATGGAATCAACACTTGACATTGAAGCAACTCGAATACCACAACTCAAAACAAAATAAAGGATTGGCTTGCAGAATAAGCCGGAAACAAACATATGATAGATCCCATATCGTATCATGTGTTTGTTGGAAGGATACCCTACGATATACTTGAATTCCCACTTATAAACTCTCGAAACTTTCTGGTTATGCAATCAGGTGTTGGGGATACAGGGGAAGCATAATATCTCACCCATACTAGCAAATCATACATCCAGCTGTATCCATCCTTCAACACATAACCAAGAAACCTTCGGAAATCATTTACCTCAACCTTCGAAAAGCATCCGTTATATGAGTTATGGCAATACTCCCGAACTCCCGCCCCAGTACTGGGTGGCATCGAGGTTATCTCACCAACAACTGCATAAAAGAGATTTTCAATGTTGGCGAACTCAGGTATTCCAGAACTGCAATGATAAAATTGTGACGACAACACCTCGGAGCTCAACTCCCCGGGACACTGCCACAACCCCTAAATGTCAGGAGGCACCAAGAGCAATGTTCTCGCCACAAGACTATCGAAATGATTCCAAGATACCCGCGTGATCCTAAATTTTTTTCGTGAAATTTGAGGAGAGAAGAGTCAAAACTTCTACGTCAGGAGGCCTCACCAGAGCGACGAAGGGACTGAGGAGTAAAAAGAATCCTACTCTCCGATATATATAATCCTAAGACTCAAAACATTTTGTTCTTGACTCAACAACGTCGGCGATTCGATCAAGGAGGGGGCTCCTAAGTCGGGGAAGGCTCTGATTACCAACTTGTAACACCCACGATGCGGCTATATCTCCCACGTGTCGGAGCACGACTTAGAGGCATAACCGCATAGTAGGCATGCCACAAGAGGGGTAATCTTTACACATCCCATGTACTGAATAAGAAAGGGATAAAGAGTTGGCTTACATTCGCCACTTCACACAATACATAAATATAACATTACATCATCCAGAATACAATCAAGGTCCGACTACGGAACCAACATAAATAAAGACAACCCTTAATGCTAGATCCCCGATTGCTCCGACTGGGCTCCACTACTGATGAACTCGGAACGAAACAAGACTACGATCAAGATCTTCATCAGGCTCGCACTTGAGCTCGGTTGCGTCACCTGCACTGGTATCATCGGCACCTGCATCTGTTTGGAAGTATCTGTGAGTCACGAGGACTCAGCAATCTCACACCCACGATATCAAGACTATTTAAGCTTATGGGTAGGAAAGGGTTTATGAGGTGGAGCTACAGCAAGCACTAAGCATATATGGTGGCTAACATACGCAAATAAGAGCGAGAAGAGAAGCAGCGCAACGGTCGTGAACTAGAAGTGATCAAGAAGTGCTCCTGAATCTACTTACGCACAACCATAACACAAGAACCCACTACAAAAAAAGACACATCCGTGACATTTTGGGCCGAACAAATTTTTTTTTCTGTCATACATATGACACTTCTATGACGATAATTGTGACAAAACCCGGTATCATCATAGATGTGGTGGGCTCCTACTTCTACGACAAAAAATCATGACAGAAAATGGGCTTTTCGTCCTGGGCAGGCCGGAGACGCAGCTGCATGACATTCTTTGGGCCGTCCATGACGGAAAAAACCGTTGTAGAAGCGAGGGCGAGAAAAATTTCGGGGAGTTCCCGGTTACGGTGGGAGGTTGGGGGCCAAGCGATGCGTGTTTCTCTCGTACACATACGTGCGTGTGTGCGAGGAGTTGGCTCTAACTGAACCCGAGTGAGGCGTTGGGCTCTAACTGAACCCGAGCGATTGCACTGTAGGCTAC